CGCGGCGACGCCTGCGCCGACCCGAGGGGGCGGTGCCGGTGCCCGGGTCGCGAGGAGGGGGGCGCGGGCGGAGCGGCCGCGCCGAGGGCCGGCGAGGGCTGCCGGGACGGGTCGCGCGTCGCCAACTTCGCGTGGGCCCGGCGGCAACTTCGGCGTCGGGGAGAGCGGGGCCGGACCCGGCGGGCCGTACCTGGCAGGGCGGTTTCCATGCTCCCGCACCAACCACCGCTGGCCGCAGCCGGGTGCTCTGCCCGTCTGTGCCCGTGCCCCGCGCAGAGGCCGCAGCTGTTGCCGCTGGTGGGAAGCGGCCGGCCGGCCCCGAAGCCGCTCGCCGCCCGGCCGGGCCCGCCGGGAAGCACCGCCCGTGGCGGAGCTGTCCGTGCCGCCCGTGCTGAGCGCCGGGCCGCCCTCGGGCAGCAGTCTCCTGCCCAGCAGCCGGCACGGGCTCCCGGCGCTGCAGGAGGGCGAAGCGTTCTTACGAGCTCACCGACAGCCGTCCGTCTGTCCCCGACGGGGAAGTGTGTTGGTCCTGGGTTGGGGCATTTTCATGATTCAGTCAAAAAACACCCTCAATGCTGAGAAATACGCATTTCTGGTCATAAGCTTTACTTCAGTTGGCATCCTCCTCCATGCGTTTATCTGAATGGGACAAAGGCCACTTACGAGCAATTAGTCTGATTGCTGAAAGTCTTTTACAGTCATGACAGTACAAATCACTACAGCAAAAGACCACTATACACAGATGTCATGATGTTATTAGTCTGTTGTCACTATGAACAAGACACAGAATATTTTATAAGAGAAAACATTTTGAAATGACAGAAGTGCACCTATCAGCCATTACTTATATTTTCATACATGAGCTTTGGAGGAAAAGTTATTTTTCCAAGGCTTGCAAATAAAAGTACCCTTTCAAAAAATGGCTTAAGACCTCAAAAGCATATGGCTCATTTATTTATGAGTAAATTAATGTCCACAGATCATGGAAGTTGTTGCTCTGCTTGTATGGAAATGTAAACCAATAATCTGTGCATTAGTGAAGGTACATGTCTCTTACATACATGGTCTGTGCATCATCCAGTCTTGTAGAGGTGGCTGCCTTGGGGTAGTTTCAAGAAAACTAAATCAGGCATATTTACAACCTCATCCACCCTCCTAGTGGTCTCAGTTCAGGCCAATCACTCCAATAATTACTGAATTTCACACATGCAGTTTTGTCTGCTAGTAGTGGAAATACTGGGGGGAGTCACTCCTCCTCCCCCCCCAAATACTGGGGGGAGTCCCCCCCCCCCCCCCCCCCTCCCCCCCCCCATATATTGAATTGCTATAATTTATACTTTTAAATATTATATTTTAAAATGAGTACTTGCTTCCTTCAGTCATCCCATTTTATCAGAGTGGGCAGAGGTTTATGACTCTGATTTATGATCATAAACCTGGGCAGAGGTTTATGATTCTGTGCACTGCTCATGGACTACAAATTTAATGAGAGTTCCTTCTTAACCTCGTCTTCCTATCCTCTAGGCCATTTACCTAGCCTAGCTACCCAAGATGCCTGTCTGTGTTCCAGGAAATGGACCTCAAGTAAATACCTGATATGGAAAAGGGTTGACATACTTTGCTATCTAGGAAGAAATTATTTCCTCTCTGATGTTGACTAGGAAAACAATTCAGACAATCTCACCTGCAGAAGAAAGATCTTCTTGTGTCAAAGACTGAGTCAAACATGAGAAGAGCGGCGTAGGACAGCTTTGTAAGAAGGAAGGAGGTGTACTAATGTCTTCTGGCTCATTCTGATAAGGTATGGCAACCTAAAGGTAGCAGGGCATGACCGGGTTTGATAGTCAAAGCTTAAGTAGCATGCTTGAGGAAGTTTCAGTTATTATTCTTCAGTGTTCTTCTGTTGCCCTTGTGCAGGGGAATGTATCTATATATAGCTGTATTGGTTTGGCATGGCCTCATGGGTGCCTGGCATTGGGCCAGTGTCAAACCACAACAACAGCCTACCTTCAAGAATGAATACTGGAATCTCAACAATAAAAAACATAGGTAATACAGGTAGTATAGCCTCTTCTACAAATAAATATCTAAGATACATAAGTATCACATATTATATATTCCATATATATATATATATATGCTAAATATAAATAATACAGAGCTTACACAATGTCTATATTGTGTCTATACTATACAGTTTATATAATGTAGTATTTATATCCTCGAGGAGAAGTAACTTTTTACTTCTACCACTTCTACTACAGAGCTTCTACTGCTACTGACTACCAGAACCAATGAACAACTTTAAAATACACTAAAATGAAAGACAAAACTTGCTAAAAACCATTCAAAAGGTTAGAATAGTGCTAAAAACTACAAGATAGCTATTCAGATAGATAGAAGGCTATGTAAGGAGGCCACTTTGAGACAGAGCAGATAATTTTTGCATATTCATGTTTCTCTGAAGGGCCTGAGATATACCAGAAGGAAGTCACCAGGACTAGACAGAACGAAAAGGTCAGTAACTACAAACAAGGAGTAATATTCCTATATTCCTATAACCTATCAAAGTAGGGAACAATTGCGTTCAAGTGAGTAAATAATAAAGGATCACAAAATTTGGCATGTTAAGTGTGAAAGAACAGTAAGGCAGGCCAAAAAAAAGAGTTTGACCATTAATTTGCAAAAAAGTATGGATGCCAAAAAGAATATTTTGTCTAAAGGCAAAGAGGAGGAACAGAATATATAGAGTTAATAGGATATCCTCCTTAAGTCTTCTATGCACACATAGACTTGAAAGTGATAAGCATTTTCACAATTTTTTGAAAATACTTCTGATGAAAATCCATAAAACTGCTGACCTTGCCTCTGAATGTTGCAAATACTGAAAACTACAATAATGCAGACAGATTTGGAATATGTGGTATATTGGAAAGTATAATTTTTGTAAAGAGAAGTCAAGGCTCAGAGAACTACTGAAGACTTCCCAAGGAGCCAGAAGACATGAAAAGAAGGGCATAAAGCTGATTTTCAAGTTATTTGGATTTCTGAAAACATTCCACATGGCTCCTCATGAAAAAAAGTTTTAAACAAAATAAGCCACCATAGAGGGAAAAGTTCTTTTATGGCTGAAAATTGTTAAAGGGTGTTGAATGGTCTATCATTTCTTGCAGCTCCAGGACCCTTCCTGTCCTGCCCTGCCACTGGAGCCCATGCTGGTGCCTGGGAATGGAGGGTCCCTGCCAGGCAGAGTGACATGGCTGCTGCTGCCTTCCTGTTTGTGGTGCACAGTCTACAGCAGCACCTACATGCAGGACTCACCCTCAGCTCCAGCACAGAGCACAGGCAGCCATGTCCTCTCCTCTTCCTGGGCTGGCAGAGACAAAAGGTCACTAGTGCAGGCACACACTCCCTGGATGCCCAAGCACATTCACCCGGTACCCCTGGCCAGATCCCAGCCTCCTTACCTGCCTCAGGAGTGCATATTTCCAGGCTAATTCAGCTTGATGCTTGCTGCAAACATATTGCATTCACATATCCCATAGGCACTCCACAGGTTGCCATGGATGAAACGATGGATCCCTGCCCGCCTGATGACCTGATGTCTCCTACTCATTGGCAAGTCCAGCTTGAAGTTTGCCAGGACATGAGAAACGCACACCCACCGTGGCACCCTCAGCATCCAGCACCAGGCACGCAAGCTGTGACGTGGTCATGCTCCAGCTACTGGTGCTGAACCCCTCTCTCACCTCACCCACAGCAGTCCCTCCCAGTAGAAGATTTTCAGGACACACACTCACTGTACCCACCTCAGCAGCTGGCAGCTAAGACCTCCAATCGCTCCAGTAGCAGATAATGAGACCTCCCCAACACCAGCAGCACCAGTGGGCACCTTACATTCCCAAATGTAACCTTGGTACTAAATCCACTCATGGAGGACCCTCAGTAGTTACCACTTCATCCTTACAACACACATACACATGGGAGAGTGAGATTGGGCTCAGTCAGACAAGTGTACCTACTGCCCTTTTTAATATTGACTGGTCCATTTAATGGTCCGATGTCGCCCTGATTTTATAAGACTTTGTTAAGCCTTCTGATGTTTGCATTCTTTCAACAAACTTTCTCACACACAGTTCTGTAAATAACCTATGTTTTGCATTCTTTCATAGAGGTGGAGAGAATTGATGGACCCTTAGTCTGTCCAGTGGCATTGGAGAGGTGGCACTGTCACCCTCCAATCCACTGTCACCTTTGGAAAACTATAAATGTTGGAGTCAGAAAATAAAGTTCTTCTTCTTCTTCCTTTTTGTTCCCCTCGAGAGCAGCAGTGTCTGTGTCATCATTTTGTGCCGTATCACAACAGTCCATTCTTTATTTTCTCCTCTGTTCTTCCAGATGCACTTCCTCTGCACATTCCTTCATTAGTTTGAATAGCTCCACACGTTCATTTCCAACATTATGGACCCTCACATTTGCATCTTATCAGGTGCAAAGTCCCAGTTTGCCTGCAGTTTATTGAGAGGCAGTTTGTTTCTTGTCTTTGTCACTGTTATCTTTGACTGTAGTGTGTGTCTCCATATTTTGTTTATTGCTTTCCACCTTTTCTTGTTATCTCACTTGTCAAGACTTTTGATCAGATAGTCTTGCTGAAATAAACATTCCTCATCAGTTAGTATGACTGATTTGTGTGTCATCCCTGACTCCTTACCATTTGTCAGTCAGGTCTTTCATGTTCTTGTTTATGGCTTCCTCCATTTCTGCACTGAAAAGGTTCATGACCAGATATCCTTAAAGAAGCACACATTTTCCTTCCACATAACCTTATGAAAAATATTTTTTTTTTTAATCTGAAGACTAATCAAAACATTTTTAATTGGTGAGGTCACCCATAGACTCTTGAAGGCTTGTATGTTGAGACTC